ATCCCCATGCGGAATACGTTTGTTACTCCAGTGTTTAGCACATCCATTTCCGCACACAAATGAGGGAAGCGGGGAAGACGTCCTCTGTAATTTAGAGCATGTGAAATTTGCATTTATCAGTTTCGAACAGGTGAGAAGTCTTACCTGCTGGAGGGCCTTGTGCTGTGCTTTGAGGCCATTTTTGGCAGCATTTGGGTGTCAGGAGCCCACATTTCACCTACTTTTCTGCTATTCATCTAGGGAGTTCAGATTCTGAGCTGGTGTGAGGCTGTCTAGCAGGGTCTGCTGAAAGCAGGGTGGGCTGCTGATTTGCTTTGCAGGGAACCTGGGGTCTCGGGGTCTTCCTCCGAGCAGGTGACTGGTGGGGACTGGGTCAGGAAGGAAGGTAGCCTGGGTGGTGGGCCACGGGACCTTCCTTGCCAAGGGCCATGTTCCCACCTCCGGGAGAGCCAGTGCAAATAGGGAGCTCAACGTGGAGGCCAAGAGCAGGGGCTCTGGGGCCAGCACCTGGGTTCAAATCCTTGCTCAGCTTTGCTGAGCTACCTTGTTTGTGCCTCCACTTCCTTACCTGTGGAACGGGAATGTTGGCAGAGCCCACCTTAGGGGATTGTTGTGGGGACTGCATGGTTCCACGAGAGCGATGAGGTTTGACACGTGGATATCACAGTGTTCATTATTGCTATTGTTGACTCCAGGCTGCCTAGGCTAGAACCGAGGCCCTCTGTGTCCAGCCTGATGGGCACTCCAGCATGGGGTTCTGGGCAGTGGCCAATCTTGGCCTCTGAAGAGGCCAGCATGCTGAACTTTTTGAAGAGAGCAGGTGATCACTGCGGGCAGGGTGGGCCCAGCCGGAGTGGCTGGCAGGGATGGGGCAGGAGGCCGGTGTCAGAGGTGCTGTTGAGGGTGAGTGGGGCTCTAGGTCAGGAGATCAACCTGAAGTATCACTGTTTGTAGTGCAGACAGACCCTGTAGCTCCTGTTCCTCTGATCTCTAAACCCTGTGTGAGAGAGACTTGCCACACTTCATACAGGAGCAGACAGAGGCAAAGAGAGGTCCATGGGATGCAGGTTGGGTGTTGGAACTGGCGATGTCCCTTGGTAGAGTGCTTATCTAGCGTGCATGAGGTCCTGCGTTCCATCCCTGGCATCTCAAACCAGGTGAGGTCACTCAGGCCTGTAATTCTAGGGCTCAAAAGTTCAAGCTCAAGGGCTGGGGAGATGGCTTGGTAGGTAAAGCACTTGCTGTGAAAGCATGAAGACCTGGGTTCAAGTCCTCACAACTCGTAAAAGCTGGGCGTGCTGGTGCATATCTGTAGCCCCAGTGTTGGGGTGGGAGGAGACAGGTGGATCCTGGGAGCTTGCTGGCTAGCTAGTGTAGGCAAAATAGGAAGCATCAGGTTTGATGAGAGGTCCTAACTCAAAAAACGAGGTGGAGAGTGGCAGAGGAAGACATTGAACAATGTGGACATTGACCTGTGGCTTCTACACCCCCCAACCCTACAAAGAAGTTCAAGTCCATCTTTGGCTATATAGCAACTTTGAGGATGCATGAGATCTTACAAGAACAAAACTACAAAGCAGAACAGAAAGAAATAAGTCTTAACATGTTGACTTGGCGTGACAGGAGTTAGAGAGAGCTGAGTGGTAGTGGGCATGAGGATCTGGAGGCTCCGGCTGTCCAGGTTCAGGCTCTGGTTGGTGGCCCCAAGTACTGTCTGGGTGAAAACAGTGTATGTCACCAGTCTGGGTGTACATGACTGGGCTGGAGCCACCAGATGCTGGCCCAGGTAACAAGGGTTTCATTGGGAGCAGGTTAGGGACCTGGACCACAGAATACAGAAGAGCCACCCTGCTCTGAAGGAATGCAGCCTGGACCACGCAGGCAGAGGCCCCGTGGAGAGGCTGGCAGGGCAGCTGGCCTCAGAAGGCCTTTGCCTGCTGCCTTGAGACATATGTGTGACTCTTTGCGAAGGACAAGAACCTTTCATCTTTGACAACTGTCACCCTCCATCTTCAGAGGATCTTTGAAGGAAAAAGGCTTCAAAATTACCTTTCATGCAATTTGCATGAAATGAGATTTTAAGCTGTACTGTGTTTTGCAGTGCACTTGGCGGGTGCATTAATGTGCGTTTTCCAGTGGAGTCTGAGCACGGCTCTCCCAGGATGGCAGTCTCCAGTGGTCTTAAGGGTGACAGCCCCTCATGGAAATGCTCAAATGTAATGCTTTTCCCCCAGAGAACAGCAGCTCTGAGATGAGCTCTGTGTAGTGGGTTGTTCTCTTGCTGTGCAGCAAGTGACCAAATGAGTTCCTGAATGAAATAACTCCTCCATGAAGTGGATGTGGTCTGTCAGGACACACAACCTTCTAGAAAGGCAAATGACTACATAACTACTGTGTGTGTGTGTGTGTGTGTGTGTGTGTGTGTGTGTGTAGGTCAGAGGTCAGCTTGGGTGTTGTTCTCGGGTCCCATCCACTTTGCACCTTCTTTAAATTTTTTGAGACAGGGTCCTGGAACTTGCCAGCTAGGCTGAGCTGACGGGTCAGTGAGCTCCAGGGATCTGCCTGTCTTTACCTCCCCATTGCTGGGGTGACCAGTGTGCATCACCATGCCTGACTTTTTATGTGGGTTCTGGGGACTGAAGTCAGGTCCACATGCGTGGCAAGCACTTTAGCCACTGAACCATCATCCCAGTTCCAAACACCTAGTTTTTTAGGTAAATGCAAATAGAACAGTTGGACGGCCTTCCTTCCGTGTCCACGTGTGACACTGTGCAGCCAGCCACGGGGAGGCGCTTGCATCGCAGGGAGCGTTGTAGGGGAGGCTCTGCCTTTTCTGGGGGTGATGATACTCATTAAAGCTGTGGGAAAGGCATGGTTCCTGGGCCGTAGGTATGCCATCATTAAGAAGCCAATCGCCTACAAGGTGATCCTCTTGGTTTGGCTTCATTACAAGTATTTGTGTCATTTTGAACAGCCTGTGGTGTGGGGACAGCTAGGAAGGCCTCTGAATTGGCCCTATGCTGAGAGGCATCTGGGAAGATGAATTTTCTAGAGCATCCAGCAGAGCCATTGTCTCTGCTCCCCAGGTTGGGGCTGCATACCAGCGAGGCCCTGACACCCAGGTGCAGGCTGCAGGCCATGTGCATAGCCACTCACGTAGACATGGGACCGACGCAGCTGTCGTGGCGGTTGTCAGTCAGCGCTGTTTGCGGTGTTGTCACATTCGGACACAGCTTGTGTACATGAGTGACACCAAGGAGGCCTGGCCTGGTCTAGAGGGATTTGGGTGCCTCCTCGTCATGCCTCTCCTGTCTTGTAAATGGTTTTGCTGTGAGTTCTTCAGGATTTCACATACTAATGGATCGCATATATTATCACAAAATACCATCAACTGAGTGGCTTATAAATTCCAATTGATTTCTCTCATTCCTGGCGGCTGGGGGGTTTAGAAGGCATGGACACATTTGACACCCTGTGAGGACCAGGTTGTAGTTTACAGAATGGTGCCTTCTAGCTGTGTTCGCACATGCCAGAGGGCCTAGCTAGCTCTCTGAGCTCTCCTTTAGGAAGACACCGATCTGTAATGAGGCCTCGGCCCTCACGACTTCCTCCCATCTCACAGGCCTCATTTAATGCCATCACTGTGGGAGTGTGAGGACGGCAACATGAAGTTTGAAGATACAAACACTGAGACAGGCGCACCGACCCTTGTTTTCTGGTGGTCATTGGGTCAAAATGAATTTCCTTCAGAGAGCTAGACAGAGGTCTGAGAATGAAGACGTCACCAGTGCAAAGCTAAGAAGGATCAAGGGGTTGGAGGGAAGGAGACAGGAACTCTTCTAGCACGAGAGAGCCTCGATCGTGGGAGATTCTAGACATTTCCTAGAAGCAGGAGGAGAATGCACGGCTTCGGTCCTGTCCCCTCACTTAGCAGTGAGTCCTGTGTTTTCATGGTCTGGTAACGTTGCATTTCTTTTCCCCAGTTCCCAAAATAATCTTATTTTGTTCGCTCGTTTTTTGAGACAGGATCTCACTCTGTAGCCCTGGCTGGCCTGGAACTTGCTAGTCTTGATGTCATAGAGCTCCACCTACCTCTGCCTCCTGAGTGCTGGGATTAAAGGCCTGCGCCACCACACCCTGCTAAAAATAATGTATATTAATTGTCAAAAATAATTAAAACTCACCATCGAAAGAGTACTGTTACTGCTGTTTCCTGTCCATGCAGTACTGAAGTCCACTCACGCATCTGCCAAGTCCCCAGCTGCTGGTTATTCAAGTTATTTCCTTTCTTCCTGTCTTCAGTTTAGGGCCCGGAGAGATGACTCAGTGGTTAGGGCACTGGCTGCTCTTTCACGGGACCTTGGTTCGGTTCCCAGCACCCACATGGCAGCCAACAACCTTTATAACTCCAGTTCCACTTGATTCAGTCCTCTCTTCTGGCCTCCTCAGGCATTGCATGCATGTGGTACACTTACATACACGCAGGCAAAACACTCATATACATTAAATAAATAAATAAAGTTAATTCTTCCTCTTCACCAGAATGCTCTACCTCTCTGTCCCTACTCCCTGTTCCCCATCCTGTGTCCTTTCTTGCCGTAGCCAGATGAACAGCCTTAGGCATGAGTGGTGGTGGGTGGAGACAGGCAGGCTGACCCTACCAGAGAGATGCCGGGGTCCCAAGAGGAGAACGCCTAAAGCCCTGGCCCAGCCTGAGCTGCCTGGGTCATGGATGGGGTGGAGGGATGAGGAGCTTGCCATGGTTCTTGGCTCTAGGGTACCATGTTGGCCCACCCCGTTCTTTGTCTGGGGTGGTTTTCCTGCTGGAAGACTTTCTCACCTGGGAAGACTGAGTACTCCCAGGGCAAACCGACCCCAGCTTCTGTTAGTAGAAGCAGCTATGATAATTAGTGCAACGCCTATGGAAACATCACAGAGGGGCTGGTCTGCGGGGCTTGGGACCAAGGTCACCTGACACCCCTTTTCTTTACCTGCTTCAGATGCAGCACCCGGAGTTCAGCACTGGACAGCACAGCCTCTGCGTTCTGGCCCGGGGCCTGGGTCGCCTGCTCTGCTGGTGGGTGCTGGCGGAGCTGATGGTCCACCTCATGTACATGCACGCCCTCTACAGCAGCATCCCTCTCCTGGAGGCCGTCTCCTATTGGGCATTAGGTAATTGTGGGAACTGCCACCAGCAGTGGTTGGCTTCAGAGTGAGGCTGGCCTGGCACACTTGGGTTCCGTGGCCCAGAGCCAGTGTCCTCCCTGCATTCCTCTTGTGGCCAAGGCAATGCACGTGTGGGGTACTTGGTGTGGATGGTGGAGGGAAGGCTGTGCTGTGTGTACTGGGAATCAAGGACATGTGATCCACCCTTGTGCTGGAACTGATGGAGTGTGGCTAGACCTGCATCTTCATGGGGTGGCCACATTGCTCTTGGTGTGTAAAGCAGAGTTGCTGACCAGCCCAGGAGATTCTGTGAGGTAGCACTCCAGGACCCGGTCAGTTACTTTCTATCTTTTCTTCTTGAGCTTCAGAGGCAGAGATTTGGATCCCAGCTCCACCAGCGAAGTGCAGGTAACCCTTGGTGGCTTGTTAAATCTGAGCATCTTTATTTCTGAGGTGAAACCTGCCTTTGCAGAGCTGTGTTGAGGGGGTCAATGAGGTGGTGCGCTTTACAGGTGGGCCTCGGTGGGAGTCTGGTAGATAGAGCAGATGGTGTGTGCGTGTATGTGCATATGTTTTCCTGATGGCCCCCTTTGCCTGTCTACACTTTGTATATCCTGCTGGTAAGGCGGGGTGGAAGTCTCATTTCCTCAGAAGGACGCAGTCTCCCAGTACAGGATTTGTCTGTGAGGAAGTCTCCATTACACTCCCTTCCTCTGGCCCTAAGGGCACGTTTCTGAGGTGAAACCTGCCTTTGCAGAGCTGTGTTGAGGGGGTCAATGAAGTGGTGCGCTTTACAGGTGGGCCTCGGTGGGAGTCTGGTAGATAGAGCAGATGGTGTGTGCGTGTATGTGCATATGTTTTCCTGATGGCCCCCTTTGCCTGTCTACACTTTGTATATCCTGCTGGTAAGGCGGGGTGGAAGTCTCATTTCCTCAGAAGGACGCAGTCTCCCAGTACAGGATTTGTCTGTGAGGAAGTCTCCATTACACTCCCTTCCTCTGGCCCTAAGGGCACAGGCCATGCAGTTTTGATCTGCAGCTCCTTTGGGGAATTCCTGCACCTGCTGGGTTCTCCCTGTGGCATGACTTCCAGCCTGTTGCTGCAGTGGTGTGCATGCATGCGGTGTGTGGAGTCCTCTGGGCAGATTAAACTGCCGAGAGCAATTACAGAGCCTGTCTCCTTGTCTTTCGGGTGATTTATATATTTTTAAAATCTTGATTGTAAAGAATCCATGAAGTTGGGAGGGGTGGATCTGAGAGGAGCAGTGGGAAGGGAAGTGTTTGCTAGATCAATTGCCACTTCTTCCATGAATTTCAATCTTTACTTGAATTAAACACACACATACCACACATACCACACACACGCACACCACACACATGCACACACACACCACACACACACACACCACACACATGCACACACACACCACACACATGCACACACATACCGTGTCAAACTTGCTTAGAGTGTTTCTGAGACAACTTACAGGACTGAGGAAACACTGAGCTGTTTCAGTAGCCGTCTTTCCTTCCCAAACAGACACACACACACACGCACACACACACACTGGTGTCAAACTTGCTTAGAGTGTTTCTGAGACAACTTACAGGACTGAGAAAACACTGAGCTGTTTCAATAGCCGTCTTTCCTTCCCAAACAGACACACACACACACGCACACACACACAGAACTGGAGGCCAGCCTGGGTTTAATGAGATCCTTTTGAAAAGGAGCCGGGGAGGGGGTGGGGAGGACAGGGGGTTAGGCAAGATATTCAAAGTCTGGAGTTTTCAGAGAAATGAAAAATTTTCAGCATCTATTCCAGGCACAGATTAACAAGGTAAGGAGAGCCAGGGGGTAGCTGAAGCATGAGATAGAGGGCCTCATGTACTGACAGTGGGAGTACAGTCCTGTGCAGCAGAGAGATGGAAGCCTGGAGACCCAACACTAAGGTACTATAAAGGAAAATCTACACCCAGTGAGCAGCAATAAGCTTGGGCTGGGAATGGAGCACTTGCCTAGTGTGCAAAGGCCCTAGGTGCCATCCCCAGACCTGAGAAAGGCAAAAGCAGTAAAGCAGTAAACTAAACATTCTTAGGACCATAGGTGGCTAATAAAACCACAATGCTACATTCTTGAGAAAGAGAACAAGATCTATGATACAACATCATAATTGTGAAGTTCAAAATACATCTATCCAGAAATTGAGGAGCATAATTAATTCAACCCTTGGAACCCAAGGCCTAAAAATCAAACATTTCAAAGCTAGGTGTATGGCTCAGTGATACAGTGCTTGATTAGCATGCCTGGGTCCTGAGTTCCATCCCAAACACACCACACACACAAACACACACACATATACACACCACACATACTACACGTACATACACCCACACACACACACACACACCACATACACGCACACACACACCACATACACAAACACCACACACACGCACACACACACCACATACACAAACACCACACACACGCACACACACACCACACACACACGCACACACGCACACACATATACACAAAGCAAAGGCCTTTGTGTAGATTCTCACAGCATTATCTTTGTGATAGAAGATTCTTTTGTTTTTCTCAACATGTGGTAAGTGTACATGTCTACGAAGCACAGTGTGATTTACGTGCTCCCTGTGCACTGATGCAGTCAGGGTGTTCGGTGTTTCTGTTTCTTTACCATCTCAGCTTCTTCCTCACAGATCTTTTGGTTGCCGAAGGAAATTATATTGTTGGGTCTTAACGAGGCAACAGGATAGGATTGACGGATGGCGTATTCTGTCATATCCCAGGTGTTGAGCATGTGAATTAAGCGATTGCTTCAGATTGTGTTTTTAACTATGAATGATGGAAACAACTCGAAATGTGACTTGACCAGCAGGAAAGGTTATACATAGGACGGTCACACTTAAGACCAGGATGAGGAGCAGTAAGTTCAGTAACTCAGAGGTTTGGCCAGTGAGGATTACTTCAGTTTAAGAACTAACCAGGATCTGGGAAGCGCATCGACATCCCTCTACTAGTGAGTCATTGGTTCCTGGCTTAAGAACTAACCAGAACCCCAGAAGTGGTTTGTTTGTACCCACACCCCATCAGCCTCCCTCCCCAGCCTTTCAAAGGTAACCTGAGTTTTGTGTTTACTACTCCCTTTTGTGGTAGGAACCCCCCTCCCCCAAACAAAAAGGGACACAGAATTGTCTGTGCCTGAGTGCATGTGCACAGTTCTGCCTGTCATGACCTTGTAGCACAAGCACCCAATCAGGATATGTATGTTACCAACGTGGGAGACACACTGAACTATAAAGGAAAGCTACGAGCAGGTATAAGAGGCTGGGTCTCTCTTTGTTAAGGCTCTGTCTTCTGAGAACCATCTCACGGACCCAGGTGCTAGCACAGGAAAACTGCTTCTTGAAGGAAAGAAATACTGTGGTGTCTTACCGCTCTGTAGCACCTGCAACACTGTCATGGTACTTTGACCATAGGTAAATCTCTACAATTGCTTATTTTAAGACGTTGTCATCTAAATAGATTCACACTGATGTCCTGGGATATGATCTTTTAGCTTGACATGGATTTGAGAATCATCTATGTTGGTACACATCATGGTGTGTCATCCATTCTTGCTGGTGGATAGAGTCTCAGTGAGTACAGATGTCATGACTCTGTGCCTGTTCCACATGTTGGAAGGTGTTTGAATTTTCCCAGGGTTTGCTTCTCCATGATTGCATTTCTGAGTCCCCTGGAGTGCATGCTCACATGCGTGAGTTTCCCTGTAGGGCAGTAATTGTTAATTCTTTGGCACTTGACTCACAGTAAGGAAAGCACTTTGCATTGAAGGGTGTGTGTGTGTGTGTGTGTGCACTCTCACAAGGCAATACTTTAACCCACCAGCACTGTCCTCTGATGGTCTGTTTTCTGTTTCATACTATTTTATGTGAAAGTGTTGGTCAGAAACCAGCCAATGGGGTGAGTCTGTCCTGAGCATGGGAAACCCTGCTCTCAGACATGCGCCTAAGAGATGGAATGACTGGCTTCGTGTGAAAGTGTTGGTCAGAAACCAGCCAATGGGGTGAGTCTGTCCTGAGCGTGGGAAACCCTGCTCTCAGACATGCGCCTAAGAGATGGAATGACTGGCTTCTGTGCAGTGAGCACGCTTTGACTTACAAGGCAATACAAAGTCACTTGAGTAGAACAATGTATGCTCCTCTGAACAGTTTGAATTTCTCCTGCTTAGATCTCATTGACACTTGATTTTGGCTTTTGATCTTGAAAATTTGATGACTATGAATTGCATCCATGGTTTTAATAAGCATTTCCCTAGTTACTAATGAATGAGCATCTTCTTTTGGGGGGTCATCTTGGATGCATATTATGTGCAGGAGAGAGGGATGTGAACCTTCTTTTAATGAAAAAGCTTACAAGAAGCAATTTATTAACAGAAAATAACCTGAGAAGTCCTGTTCACAGACGGCAACCGTGGCAACTCCCCCCTTCCTGTGGGTGCTGTCAGAGGGGATGGGAGTGACACCCTCAATCTGTCCAATTTTCATCCCTGAGCGAGCAAGAGCTCTGAGGGCTGACTGAGCTCCAGGTCCAGGGGTTTTGGTCCTGTTTCCTCCAGTGACCTGGAGTTTGATATGCAGGGTAGTGATACCCAGCTCCTTGCAACTCTGGGCCACATCCTGGGCAGCCAACATGGCGTATGGAGGAGACAGATCTCAGTCAGCCTTCCCCTTCATTCCCACAGGTGCGAGCATCTCCTCATGGGTTTAAATGACTTCGTCATCTTCAGTGATGGAACTGTTGAGAACCTGTGCTCATTCCTCATGTTTTTATTATGATGTATTAATTGTCCAAAGCAATAAATAGGTCCCCTTGTGACATTTGCATACATGCATATAATGTACTGTGACCCGAATTCCCTCTGGGTCTCCTGTGTGATCAGACAAACCGTATATTTTATTAACTTACAAAAGAATGAG